TATGGAGTGAGGTGTGGATCTTGCTTGAGTCTTCTGCAGAGAGTTTTCCAATTTTGCCAACACTATTTGTTAAAAAGTCTGTCGTTTCCCCACTTAACTGATTTCATCTCCTTGTCCTAGGGTTTTTAACAGACTATTATTTCAGAAGTGAATGGCCAATCCTGTGTTCTAGTCTTTCTTATTTTGGGAGCTCTGCTGAAACCTGTCCATCATGAGTTACCCTTTTGGCATTTGACACTCAGATGCCATAGCCTCCAGCATCACAGGAACTCACAAGTTACCTCTATAGAGCAAACTGACAGAAAAGTTCTCCACTTATAAGAGCAAACAGAAGACTTATATCTACCTAGCTATGAAGTAATTAGCAGCATGCAGATCATTCCCCAGCACAATGAACTAATAGATAGATGTTGTACCTCTAGCAATAAGCCATAAAGACAATAAGGCATATGAATATCATGGTGTAGGACAACCTTCTCTGACCCCAGCAGGGGCCCATGGTGGTGAGACAGGATATGATTCTGGGTGGGCATATTATGGTACATATAGTGGTTAAGCTCATATTTGTCACAAAGGGGGAGGCATGCAACTCTGTTTTCTTCCACCATGTTGCTGGCAACCTCAAAGATGAAGATCTCCATCTGCTGTATTCCTATAGATCTCTGAGGCAGTGGGCTTGGGGGGGTGATCTTCTCTCACAGTTAACACAGAATCAATTTGCAAAAGCAAACTCATTGTTTCATCCAAATCCGACATCCCTGATATATATTACTTTTTGTAATTCTGATTGCTTAGACTAGAAACAGGAATCTGATTAGAGGTCATAGTATATTTTTACTTCTCCCTGATAACTCTTTCAAGAAGTTGCCAAGTCTGTAAAGTCTATCACTTTCATGACATGTCCTGATTATTAGAGACAATTCTCTGCCAAATGGTAACCGTTATAGAAAATATATAACTCTTCTTATGATAACAGACACCATCTTGTAAGAAATCAGTCAAGTTTACTGAACAGTGATTTATCACTTCATTTAAAAATGACCACTAGAGACTCCTTGCTGTTGTTAGCTACTGTCAAGTTGCGTACAACTCATAGTGAGAGTGTGAACAGAGCAGAACCCTGTCCTCTCCTATACTATCTTCATAATATCTAATACTCTCAAGCTCATTGCTGCAGTCTTTGTGTCAATCCACCTCATTGAGTCATTGTGTCAATCCACCTTTCCTTTGCTGACTCTCCACCTTTCCAAGCATGATTTCCTTCTGCAAGAAATAACCTCTCCTAGCAAAATGACCAACGTCTGCAAGATGAAGCTTTATCATTTTTGACTGCAAGATGGCTGAACCTTCCTTCTGTAAGACATATCTGTTTGTTCTTTTGGCAGTTCATAAGATACTCAGTACTCTTCTCCAACACTAGAGTTCAATTCTTCTTCTGTATGCCTTATTCATTGTCCACCTCTCATATGCATAGAAAGTAACTGAAAAGACCATAGCCTGTATTAGGTACACCTTACTCCTCAAACTGACATAATTGCTCCTCAATAATTTGGAGAGGTCATTGACTACAGACTTTCCCATTGCTGTACATGTCCTAATCTTCAGACTGCTGGTACCAAATATATTGATTGTGGATTCAAGTAAGATGAAGTCATTTAGAGTTTAAGTCTTTTCTCCAACTATTTTGATGTTGCCTGTTGGTCTAGTGACAAAGGTTTTTGTTTTCTTGACATTGAGCTGCAATCCATATTGAAGGCTGCAGTGTTTAACCTTCTGCAGCAAATGTTCAAGTCCTCTTTACTTTCAGCAAGCATGGTTGTGTCATCAACATAACAGAGATTATTGATGACTCTTACTCCAATCCTGATGTAAGCAGTTGTGCTGCCAACCTAAATTCTGGTGGCTCAGTGGTACGAAATTGTGCTACCAACCCAAATGTATGCAGTTAGAATCCATCATGTTTTCCATGGGTGAAAGATGGGCAATCTCCTTCCTTGTGATTTACAACCTCTGAAAAGGGAGGGTCAGCTATGGAACAGTTCCGACTCAACAGCACAAAACAACTACCAGAGGGGTAGAGAATATATCTATATAAAATTTAGTAGAGTGCTTTGGACACTTGAAGCAACCCAGTGGTGTTGTGCATGATGTGTCAGGTTGCTAACCTTAACATGAGCAGTTCAAATCCACCAGTTTGTCCATGGAAAAAAGATGCACAGTCTCCTTTTGTAAAGATTTCTAGTTTCAGAAACCCAATGAAGAGCAGCATGAATGAGATTTTATTCAGCAGCAGTGGGTCTCGGTTTAGATATTTTTTTTTAATTAAAAAAGCCTGTTTATGTCTACTAAAATAAATTGCCCTTTTAATTCCTCATTTTTAAAATTTCTCATTTTTAGAATACATTTGTTCATACTGTTAGTATTTCTTAACACCATCTTCCCTGTTTTTATAATAGTTGTTTTGAAAGTTGTTTTCTAATATAGTTGTTTCGAAAGTCATATATATTTAACATCTTACCTGTTTTAGAACATTCAGATATATTTGCTCCCTTTCTACTTAAGTTCTTTTAGCTCATAAAAATACGGTAAAGAGGTATAAAGAATTAATAATACTCTAAAGATGCCTAATTTACAACCAGACATCTTTACAGGATACCTGTATCCTCTTGAAGAACTTGACACAATGAATTAGATCAAACCATTTTCATTTTTTTAAAAAACAGATAATGTAAATAAACTTATGACTTGCAGTTAATAGTTAAATAGAGGTATATGAATGCCTCCTAGTGGCATTTTAAATACTCTATTTAAAATAACAATACCACTGAATTGTACATGTAAAATTCTTTTTAAATACTCTTTTTTTACAAAAACTTTTTTATAATGTAGTATTTACTTAAAAGATACTGTTGATTACATGGATACTATTAAAGCTTGTAAATGCAAAGTGTCAGCATTTTAAATGATGGCATCCTTAATGAAATAAAAATTCATTACATTAAAAATTGAGATGGAAAAACATATTTGTACATAAACTCTCACATACACAAGCAACATACCTCTTAATGCCATAAGACCAAGAGATTCTTAATGAGAAATTTTATCATTTTGTTTCAGATCAGATTAATTTTTTCAGAAATTAACGGAAACATTTTAACTTTGAGCAAATATTGTTATTAATTAAGATTTGAGTTGCTTTATTATTTTTCTTTCAAATTAAATGTGGTTACTGTTAATATGTTTCAATTCCTTTTTGTAATAGATATAATGGTTTATAAAATGTCTAACTCATTTTCCTGACAGATCTTTTAAATTCTGATTTTTCAGGTCAAATAAAGGGATATAATTGGTAACCTTGAAATACTGAGTATAGCTTTAATATGGTAAAATATGCTGATTTAATTATTGCTTTAATCAGTAAATGATGGAATTGTATTTTAAAATGTAAAACTTTCAGGGAAAGAATTCTGAAATGGGTCAATAGGAGGGAGAAAAAAAGGAGCTAGCTATTCTTTTGTTAAGCATTCAGAAATGCTTTATTAACTGCTTGCTACAACAAAACAATTAAAATTGCAATTACCTTTAAAAAACAGCAATGCAATTGCGGCTGTTGTGATATAAAGCTAGGAAACAAAATGTTAATCTGGAATGAAGAGTTTAAATATGAAATTATGATATACTTGGCTTCCTGTAGTACGGCTGTCAAGCTTGGGCAGTTCGCTGGTCAATAGTGACGTTCTATGTGTCGGTGAACAGAGTCTCTTGATACCATAACCCGCAGTTCACACATTACTGAAGCTCCAACTGTCGAACATTCAAGTCCCCTGGTATTATTGCAGCTTCCAGACTCTCCTGACTGGCTCATGTTTCATTCTTTGGCAATTTTCCCTAATGATATCCCTCAGGAGCTTTCACCCTCTCTTCCTTTCCATATTTAATCGTGGTATATTAATCTGAGTGATGCGCAAACTGTGCTGCACAAATTGTAATTTCCTGCAGTTTCTTCTAAGATGCTCATCTCCTTTTTCATTTTCACTTTAATTTATGTTCAAAGTTTTGACCTCAAAATCTATTTTCAGTAAGCTTAAACTAGCTCTGTAACATTCCCAAGAATATACTTTTGCAATTTATTTGTTTTTCAAAGCGACCTCTAAACATGAGACTTTTACCTCCAAATATGAAACTTTTACATGCAGCATTGGTAAAGATCAAGTGATTTATGCCATTAGGTAAATTGTTTTCAGTGATTATTAATCTTTGATATTTTGAGCATGTCTTTTTGTTGTTTGGAGGGTCAGCGGTTACTCATTGTTGTTACCATTTTACAAATTTTAGTTAACTGCCTGTCTACATGGATCAGCTTCTCTGCTTTACCCAATGTACTGGCAACACATATACATCCCAGTGCTTCCTCCACACCTGCTGGACTACTGCTGGTAAGCTGGCGTTTGCCAGACTCCTTTAAATCTGAGTTTCATGACTGGGGTTGGGGAGAAAGAACCACTTATTTGTCAACTATGCAAGCGTCATGTCTTCTGTGAGAAAAATCTCAGAAGCTTGACCTTGACATTAGTTATACATATTGAAAAGTACTTCTGGAGGGCAGAGTAGTTCTTTTCAAAGAGAGCAAAATTATGAAGTTATAGTACTTTAGATTTAGTGAACTTTTTATTACTCTCTGCCATAATTCAGATAACAAAATGCATAGATAGAAGCACATATAGTTTAGTTTATAGTTAGGAATATTGTGCAGAAGTTTTGATATTATTTGGATGACCCAGTATCGCAGCTGTCAAGATTTATTTGGACAGTCTGCAACAGACCAGATTGTTTCTGGCAGGGCACACTTTGCCCTGTCTTTACCTCAGGCACACTTCCCTTCACTCTCTTCTCCTCCAGCAGTGCCATGGAGAGCAACATAGGACTTGCCTGGAATACAAGGCAAATTTGAGTTTTTGGTTTAAGTCAGAATGCCTTTAAGCCATTTTTAAAAATAATGTTTAAAAATTTTGGGAAAATTTCTGAAAAACGTCCTGGTGTTATAGACAATTAGTTATGTCACCCATTTGAATCCCACCAGCCTTCAGGACTTCTCTATTCTCTTCCCTACCCCTCAAAGTGTATGTACATCTGCAGTGAGGCTTGACCATAATGAGACTCTCAAGAGTCAGCATATAATTTAGGCCATACACCAGTCATTGTGCATTTCCACAGCGAGGCAATCACCTCAATGTTGATGATACTGTGGGGTAGGTATGTGCACAGTGACCTGCTGTAGCAGTTTTATGTTTTGAATATAACATGGTAGTTTGGTAGAAAACTGTAAGATTGGACTTTATAATGTCAAGCCCCACATGCACACAGTCTAAAAGTACAACTAGATTTATAAGTAGGTCTTCATGTTTAATTTTTTTCTCTGGCAGTATACTTAAAATATATAGACACACTTGAAAGCAGATACTGCAACTTGTTTATGTCAATATATGCCTTATGCTCTTGTACTCACTGCTGTCAAGTTGATTATAGCATGTAGCAACTTCTGTCATGTTTCTGAGGCTATAAATCTGTAGGAAAAAAAAGACTGTCCATCTTTCCCAACAGCAAGCTGGTGAATTCAAACTACTGATCTTTTGGTTAGCAGCCTAAGTTGTCATGCACTATGCTACTAGTGGGCTTTCTCTTTGTACAGGGACACAGAACTCAAACTCATTGCCTCTGAGTGGTTTTGACACATACCTGGCCTTCTTATCAGGTTTCTGAGGCTGTAAATCACATGGCATGAGATAGGCTCTCTTTCTCATGTTGAACCCACTGGTGAATTAGAACTGCCAGAGAAACTTGGTCTTTGAGTTAGCAATGCAACTTACTGCAGACTATACCACCAGAACTTCCTGTCTTTGTAACTAGTGCTCCGTAATTAAAATGAATTATTAAAATGTTTATAATTTTAAAAAAAATATTATATAAGTTTAGTAAAGACTTGAGATATGATTTAAAAATATATGCAAGTTAGTGGTTCAAGGGCTAACATTTCTAATTATGAGGTGTGGAATAATGTTTTATCATATGTAATAATAAGACAACAAAAACCCCTCACTCCACTGTTGTGAAACTGATTCCAGCTCAGCAGCCTTCTGTCAAGTTTCCCATGCTGTCAATCATAAGGGAGGAGACAGCTAATCTTTCTTCTTTAGAGTAGCTGATGGATCTAAACCCGACCTTTCAGTTAGCAGCACCATCGGTACTCTAGCTTAGTTTGTAGTTAGTTTCTATAATTTTTATTTTTATATGAAAATATTCTGACCTCTTAAGGGGAAAGTTCCTTCAAGGTCAGTTTTCTTTAATGGATTACAAATATAACACTTTCTAAAAATTCTGTTAGGTAGAAACAGTACAGGCAGTTCTGTACTAAGTCTTCCAGAGCTGTTGTTTTCTTGTTATTTTCTATGCTTGTCACAAAGTCCTTCCTTTTCATCTGTTTTCACAGAAAGGAGCAGTTTGCTTTACACATAAGTTTCAGTCCCTAGAATGTTCTCATTTGTTTGTTTCTGACTTCTGAGGTAGAAGTTTTAACCTTCTCCTTCACAGACACTTCTCTAGACCACAGATTGGAGCATCGATCCTTAAGCAAGGAGCTGTCTGAGACTTACTGAACCTAAGGTCGCAATGATAGCCTCAGATTCAATAATGAAACTGAGACAGTGTGATACATTTGCTTTTAAAAATAGCCATTGAAGTCTTCTGCTTTCTCCTAAGATTAGAAGAGTCAGTGGACTGCACTTTTGAAGAAGATAGTTAAACTTCTCTTTGTGTCCTTGAGGTCAGAATCATATTAATATATATGTAAAAGAGAGAAATATATTACATGTTAACCCTTCAATCTTATGACTTTTGAATCAAGGAATTTTTTTTTATATTGCATATTGAAAACACTGTCAGAAACATATGGTAGGAGAAGATGAATCTTTGCAGAATCTCCCAGATAACTTGAAATTTCCAAATCATAAGGCAATCCTACGTTCTGGAATTACTTTGTATCTGGTAGTGCTGGTGTGGCATAGACTGTAGAGAGTCATAATGCCATCTTGTGACCATGGATGGATATCACATCTTGGGCCACAGATAAAGACTTGCTCACTATTTGGTACATTCATTCATGTCTCTCAAACATTTAGTGAAGACTTTTTTCCTCCTACAGATTAAGTATATAGTGGAATGAATTCAGTTCCATTCCTTCCCTTGAGGAGTGTATGGTCACAGTAGAAAGAAATACAAACACACAAATGCACACAGAGAGGAGGACTGCAGTGTTTTAAGTATTATAATTGTTGTTAGGTGCTGTTGAGTCAATTGACTAATAGCTGACCCTTCAGTGGGTTTTCAGAGGCCCTATTTTTCAGTAGTGGAGATTGCCTATCTTTATCCCATAGAGAAGCTGGTGAATTCAAGCAGCATGCCCTCGATTTGGCAGTGCAACTTCTTATCACTAGGACACTAGAGCCCCTTAAGTTTTATAGTCACTGTTGGTTTTGAGTATCATTGAGTCAAATCTGACCCATAGATGACCCTCTAGTGGGTTTTCTGAGGCAATTAATTGCATGGGTGAGAACTGCCCATATTTCTCCTACAAATTAGCTGTGGATTCAGACTACATACCTTTGGGCAGACAGTGCAGTTCCTTGCCACTGAGTTAACAGACCTCTAATATAGTAGGGATACACCGAAAAACTCCATGTGGAAACACAGAGAAGGAAGCGGCCTATACTGCTTGTTGGTTAGAAGACTACAGGGAAGAGGTGGCACCATCTGTTTACTTTCATTTAATCAACCAGTATAAAACCCAACCCAGCTGTTGGGTTGATTCTGACTCCTAATAACTCTCCATCAGGTTTCTGAGGCTGTAAATCTTTATGCAGGAGTCTGCTCATTTTTCACCTGTGCAGTAGCTGGTGAATTTGAACTGCTCACCTTGTTACAGAAAAGTTGTTATGGCTGATGTGTACATTTTCAGAATTTTTTTAATTGCTCAAGAAGAGATTGCCTGTTTTTCTCCTGTGAAGCAGCTGGTGGATTCAATACATGTGCCTTAGGATTGGTAGCACAGCTTAGCAAGTCTATGATATTGCCAGACACTCTTAAATTATTTGAGTCTGTAAACATATTGACAGTATATATGACTCTAGAACTAGTAAAATGTTAATTGTTCATTATTTGTTCAGGGAATGGTTGAGAGATTCTTTTTATTTACACTATTTGTGTGACTCACTCCCCCCCCCCCATGGAATGATTGGATTTAGCTTTTAGGAGCATAGTTTAAAGGGAAAAAAACCCAGAAAATTGTGTCACATACACTAATTTTATAATCTACCTCATGGGTGGTCTCTGTAAGAAAACCAAAGGAAAGAAGAAGATATCAGATAGTAATTATTTTTGAGTAAAGATTAATTGCTACCAAAAAAGGGAAAGCACTCATAATAAAGCCTGTGTGTGCCATCTCTACAAATGCCTTCACTGATAGAAAGGTCTAGGACAGCTTTGCACATGGATGATAAAACATCTGTGTTTCCAAGGATCTTTTCCTGATTTATTAACACCATAATCTAATTAGGAAATTTCAGCTAAGGTTGCAGAATTGCTTTTCATAAGAGTTGTCTGATTTTATATTAGGATGTATACAGTCTAGTGGTTTGTTTTTTGTTGTGTTTTTTTTTTTCGAGAAAGAAGCAGCTCTTCAGTTTACTCTATATTCTGTAAAACGTCATAAATTTTTTTGGAAATTATGTTCTAGATTAATAGTGTTTGTTTGCAATAGCAGCATGTATATGTTTCGTCTCTTGTTAGAAATAAGTGAGGGGAAAAAAAGGGTTTCATGGTAGTCAATGATCATATTTTATTATATGATATTTTATTAATATGATCTGTAAAAGAGCTTGTTTTATATTTTTATTCTGATATAACAAATTCTGAAAGTTTATTTTCATATTTTAAAGGATAACGAAAAGGTAACCATCTTTCGGAAGGTTTTAGAAGGATTGTATTTACTAAGAATTTAATTGAATATTTACCACTTAATGGTAAATATTATAGGACCCTCCAATCCACCTGATAGCCCTCCAATATCTGTAAAGTGGATGTAGTAATTTTGTTTTCAAAACTTTTCTATATTCCAGTTCACACTAATTATATTAAATGCTCTTTGCAATTTAAGATTTGTGAGTGCTCTCTGTATTTATGATAAGTTAGCTTAACTTGAGTGAATTTGTTAATTGGCACAATTTTTAAAATAATTTTACAATCTTTTGGATATGCAGAAAGATCAATATATTTAATATCTAGAGTTTTGCCAGAATTGCCCGAGTTCAGTGAAGGGAGCTTAGAAAAATTAATCACATGTATTTTATGTCTTCTAGTGAGGCTATTTTTTTTAAATGGCATTACAAAAGAATTTCTAGGGATAAGAAGTTGAGCTAGTATCAACCTTTCCTTTTTTAAGCAAATATGGAACAGTTTCTGTTTGTGCCTCCTGTTTCCTTTGGAAGGGAGCGCTGGTGGCTTGGTGGTGAGGAGTTGCTCTGGCAAATCACAAGCATGTGGTTTGAATCCACCAGCTGCTCCATAGAAGAAAAATGGACAGTCTCCTCCAGTGCAATTTATCACCTCTGAAAACTGGCTAGAGGGTCATGAGTAGGTGTCAATTCACTGGCATATTTTATTTTGAAGTCCAGAAAACTTCTAGGTTTTAAGAATATCAAGGCCAAGAAATCGTTCTCAGTTTCAATCCAATGAAGTATCCAGTATATCAAATCAACTCTACGTGATCTGTTGTATTAAATAACGGGGGGGGGGGGAGGAAGCCCAACAAATCCCAAACCCCCAAAATCTCAAAAGCTGAGACTCATTAACATTGAGTCAATTCCAACTCATAGTGACCTTCCACTGAGTTTGTGAAACAGTAGTTCTTAATGAGAGGAGACTGCTTTTTGTTTTCCTTAGAACAGTTGGTGGATTAGAACTGCTAGAAATGAGAGGCCTTTTGGTTGCTAACACAACAGACTACTGAAAATTCTTTTAAAACTAAAAAAAGAGCTCAGCTCATCAAATTAGAACTGACTTATAGCTGACCCACTAGTGAGTTTTCATATGCTATAAATCACATGGAAGAAATTGCACATCTTTGTCCTGTTGAGCTGCTGTTGGATTTGAACCATGTACCTTATTATTGACAGTGCAGTTCCTTACCACTAAGCCTCCAGAGCTCCCTAAAAAAGAAAAAGTCCACTTGGAATTAGAATCTATTATAATAAGAAACATAAGCTTATTTATTTGTGAATTCTTGATATCTGGCGTTTTCCAAACTAGACCCTACTCACTACTGGCAGTTTTAACTTTTAGTAACCTTAAGGACAAAGTAGAACTTCCTACATAGTTCCCAAGGTTGTGAATGTTTGCAGATGCCAACTGTCACATTGTTCTCCTGTAGAATAGCTGGTGGGTTTGAGTCACAGGCCTTTCAGTTAGCAACCATGCACTTAACCACTGCATCACCCGGGTTCCTATCTTATTATTTAGCTCTCTCTAAATTTGGAATTATTTGAGGCTATCTTGAAAACTCTGGGACTGTTGGGATACTTACTGTTTTTAATCTATTACTGATTCTCAGAGACAACATTGATGTTTGGTAAATTATGCAAATTGTTTAAGAGAGTTACATATTTTCATTAACAGAAGATTGTTTGGTCCATGTATAAGGAGCAGACACATTGTGGGAGTGGCTGAGTCTGACTTCTTCCCATTTAATAAAGAGAAACTGTATCCAATAATAATATCTATAGTGCTAAACAAATACCTACATGATCAGACATGCCACCTCACATACTCTCTCACCTTTTTCTACCAATTATTGCATGCAGTGTTTGTTGCTCCTTGACTCACAAACTTTACTCACAGTTGTGGGGCTTATTAGGGAAATAGGTGGGGAATGGGGGAGGCAAAGAGTATAATACAATACAAGTCCAGCAGTCCTAAACTAGATTAACAGTAATAAACAATTCCTCAATTACTGAAAGTCCATGTTTGTTTCAGCACCGTAAATGAACCTCTGATTTCCTCAATCACCCAGCAAACTTTACCTCAGGACAGCAACAAACAAACTTTTCCTTCAGTTATCCAGCAAGTAAAACTTTTAGC